GTAATTTTGATTTGGGGGGGGGGGGGGGGGGGGGGGGGGGGGGGGGTTGTGGGGGGGGGGGGGGGGGGAAGGAGATGGGTTGTGGCTTTATTTTTTGTTTTTTTTTAATTTTTGATTTAATAGGGAAAATGTGTTTTATTAAAAATGTCCTTGTCTTATTTGGGAGAAATAAAAAGTTTCTATTTTGGGAGTCAATTGATGATTTTGATAGTCAAATTGATAGAAATCATCATTTTGGAATTGAGCTGCAAATTTTTTAAAAAGTTGGCACTCACGGTGGTACAAATGAAGTATTTGGGCAAATCCTGCTAATAAATGAAAGGTTTAGTAGCTTGATTACAATTTTCCCTTTTTTTATTGTTTCAACTCAAATTCACCCATACATTAATGGAAAATTTAGTACTTTTTCATGGTGTTACTAGGTTGCAAGTAGGGGTTGACAAAAACGTGTGTAACCGACCCAATTCGAGCCTATTTGAAGTTCATTCGGTCCGATTCTCGGGTTGGGCTTGGACATAACCCATAAATGCGATTTGGTGGTGGGGTCCCTTTTCTTTCAATAGACAATTTAAATCATTTATGAAATTCAGTCCATGTTTGTTATTATTTGGAAAGTTAAAAGAGTTTTGAATAATATTTTTTAGAGAATATATGGTTAAAAAGTAAAAAATAAAAAATTATTGATTTGTGTGGAGAATATTTTATTGTGTGAATGTGCGATAGATAATGATACCGCAACAAACAATTTAAAATTTTAAAGGGTGCCAAACCGGCATTCAAGTTTTTTTTTTTTTTTTCTTTTTCTTTAGCCAGTGGAAATCAAATTGAAAACTAGAAAAAAGGGGCCCTCAGGGCACATCCGAGTTGGTTGAACAATCACTTCGTTGGGACGCTGGAAGCAAGGGTGGAGAGTTCGATTCCTGGAGTTAACACTGGGAGCCATATGGAGAGGAAGCCATTGGTGTGAACAAACGTCCAGTGAGGAGAGCTCTCTTTGCGGAAGGAGTCCAAATGAGTTGTGGGAACCTGGGAGCCAACAAGGACACATCCTGCGATTTACCTCCCTGAGCAGCTGAGGGGCCGGAGGTTCAGGGACAAGGATCTAGTCGGACGCAAGCCCGGACACCTTGTAAAACCGAACCAAATCAACTTGGAAGTATTTGGATCATTTCGGTCTCGACTGGACTCTCAATCAGTTCGATTTTTTGGAAATTCAACCCAAGATGTCAGTTCAGTCGTGGTCATCCTAGTTGCACAAAAAACAAAATGTCATACGACACGAAACGTAGAATTGTGATTTTTGAAAAAAAAAAGTAAGAAATGCAAAAATTGTGAAACATTATGTAGAAAATTATGTATTAATTCTTATCAATTCAGTATTTAACAAAAATACAGTCAATCTAAACTATTTAAAAGTTCAACAAATATATAATGTCATTTAACAAAAACAATCATAGTGACTAAATACTCAGACCAGAAAAAATAATGATAAAATCATAAGTTCTCAAATCAATTTCCTTCAAATACACATTTATCAATTAATGGAAGTAAAAATTGATTTTTGGGAAGGGAACTGGAATAACTATCTTACTATGTATCCTCTATTTTTTTCCCCACCCTAAACTAATCCTTTAGATTTGAGTAATACTATTCATCTGAAGTTTAGATGATCATCGATTTATGTGATAGTGAAATCATTACTTGTCTAATGAACTTTTTATGCATTTTTAGTAATTGAACAATGTGATTGTGAATCAATTTTACTACAGTGACCGAATTCTTTTTATAGAGAAGGTGACCAATTCTCACAATGGCGAGACCCATTTTTTATTTTTTTGACTTTTTTATTCACGTAGGACCGACGGCATGTGAGGGGATGTCAACCATTTGGACAAAAAAAATCGAGCAAAGTAGCAAAATTCGATTGTGAATACACTGTCACAAAAATCAATGATCATCTAGATTCTAGATGAATAGTATCATCCTTCATTTTTTTGTACCATACCACTAAAACGAATTAAAAGGATGATATCACTTGTAGAAACTAGAACATTCTCTTCAAACTTACCGAATCATTTCAAGTAAATGCAGATAACACAAATTCACCTCTTTGAACCTTGAGCAGTCTTATATATATATATAACAATTTTTGAATCCCAAAAGCTCCTTTTAATTGTTTAAAAAGTCATGCCAAATGCCAAACGGACCCTAAGTGTCTCATGACACCATCCATATTGAATTGTCACAGCTAAATTGAAACAAAGGTGAGAATAGCCCGAATATGGTGCAATTCCCTTTTACACTTGTTACCTCATGAGAAACGACATGTGAAATTATGGGTGGTGCAAAGCTGTATCACATTCCCAAATCGGTTAGACGAAGGACGGACATAATTCAATACATACAAAATATAATCTTTATACAAGATCAATAGAATTTTACATTTATCGATCAAATCTTTATATTCTAGTGACAGCAATGAATAAGAAGGCCCTTCCATTTCCCTTTCGATAGGAGATTTTAACACCGAGTTCCTGTCACAATCCTTGCTTCTTGGGAGACAAGAAATGAATCCATATTTCCCATAATTGTTTCTCTACTTAAATCTATTAATTTTTAAATTTTTTAATATTTATGTAAAAAAAATTGAAAATTTAATTTACATAAATAATTAAGGGTGTGCTTGTTTTGCCGATTTTAGTTTTCAGTTTTGTAAAATACTCAAAAGTTGTTTTATCCAATGTTCTTGAAAATGAATTTTCAAAACCAATATCAAACTTATAAAATAAAACTCAAAACATATTTTTTGACATTTTAAATATTTTCAGTGAAAACTCTGAAAATACTTAAAATATGGAAAACAAATATTTAAGTAATGTTTTATTTAAATAAGAATGTAAAATTGAAAATTCTAGAACAAAAAAATAAAATTTTGATAAATTCTAAAAATTGAAAAAATAAAATTTAAAATTCTGAAAAAAAAAATCAAAAAAAAAAAAAAGTAGCAATAGGTCAAACCCTTAACGGTTATCTACATAAAAATTCTAACAAATATATATTTAAATAAATGTTTATAAAACATTTCACTCCACATCATTAATTTTTATTTTTATTTCCTATATTTCATCATGTCAATTTATTAATTATTTTTATTCACTTCTATAGTGACCCAAAATAAAAAATAAAAAAATTGTAATATTCACCAACTTATAATGTATATATTCCTAGATTATATATTGACATAAAATTATTTTATTTTATTTAATAATCAAATTTCATGGAATGAAATGTCAAAAAAAAAAATCTCAAAATTAAAAAAAAAAAGGTGTTTTTAATTTTTTTTTCTTTTGAGAAACAATTTTTCAGAATAACAAATCTAACATTTTTTTAACAATATTAAAACACACACAAAAATAGAAAACTGGAAATATCTCAAAATTGAAAACTAAAATATAAATCAAATGATCCCTAGGTTGTTGCGGTGATTATGCTTTTTGCCCTAATGTGTGACAAAGTTCGTTTTCCAGCCTTGCACCCATGCGAGACGTCATACAGCAGGATCAAATTGAATGGTGTTTTTTGCTATTCGTAATCCCTAATCGATATTTAAGTTTCTATTTGGTATAGATTATAATAAGATTTTTAACAGATTTTATTGAAATATATGATCGAAAAGTTGTAGATTCCGTAAAATATTTGGTTGAAATCAATTATCAACTTTAATTCGAGATTAAAATTATGTTTTACTTTATATCAAACATGGGCTAACTATCTAAATTTGGCATCAGTCAAGGTGGGGAGTGCCCACAAGATTTTAGCCTGGAAAATTAGGGGCCGCACAAAAAATTAGCCAAACTGCAAATTGAACCGAACCATTTGGTTTGAAATCGTTGATTTGGGTCCACGTGGAACTGCGATTTTTGCCCTAAATCGAATCAAACTGTTCTAAAATGTTATGATTTAAGTTTCGATTTTCAAAAACCGTACAAAGAACTAAATCGAACTTTTTTTTTTAACTTTTTTAATTAAAAAATAATTTTATTAGATTATAAATTTTAGAGTTTTCAAGAAAAAAATACAAATTTACAACAGCTAATCAGCAATACAAATTACAGGTTACAGCAAATCACATCCAAATTTTCAGAAGTCCTAACTTAATCTCTCATTTCTCAAAGAATTGATGCCTGCTCGCCATTGCTGAACGAAATGCGATTCCCAATCGCCAATCACAACTCATTTTTTACATGTTAGTTTACTAATTTCTATTTGAGTCGTCTCTTTCTCTCTTGGTTAGATTTTCATTCAGACTATTTTTTTCATTGTTTTTTCTTCATTAAGTGTTCATTAATTTTTTTTCATTGAGTGTTCATTATTTTCTTTACTCTTGCACTCTCATCAGATTCATTTCTTTCCTTTTTTTTTTTTTTTTTTTTCTTTTTTTTTTTTTTTTTTTGTCCATTGGTTGAAATATTTGTTGTTTTTGAACTTAAATTATACACTTGTGAGTTGTGGTTTGGATAGAAAAATGATTATTTGTGCATAACTAAACTTATGTAATTAATGAACTTGTTATACACGTGCTTTGCCAAACAAGCTTTCTCAAACAACTACTTGTTTGAAAAAACTACATGCTACAATTTAATGATATTGGGATGCCTAATTTCAGCGATTGCATTTAACTTCTATGTTAACTTCTTTTACATTTGTTACTATAATATCAATAGGTTAATTGCGTATCAAAAATCGAACTAAAACGCAAAATAATGATTTGATTTGATTTGAAAAGTAAAATGCTTTGATTCGATTTGAAAAAACTTCAAACCATGTGAAAATATTTGAGTTAACAAAATATGTCACAAACCCTCGAAATCGAATCGTGATAAACCCACTCGATTGTAATTTCATCGTAACTATCATTTCAGTTATTTGGTTGGGTCCGAACCCGACCCAACTGGATCCATGCCCACGCGGTTGCACCAAGCTTCATCTATACCCCACCTGTACATTATCGAAAACGAATATCCTTTTCTACACGTAGTAACAACCGTCAATTCTTTATTTTTCTGCTCTCTCTACTCTACACATGAAAAAATCCGCCCCCGACAATATATAAACACGCAATCACACACTTGAGCAAGGCACATCAAAAGGAGAAGAAACAAAAAATGGCTTTGAAGGTAAATGATCTCTCTTTACTCCCGGTATATTTTATTTTTGTTTAATCGTATCTTTATTGTTAATTCGATCAATGCGACGAATTCCATTTTTTGATTTTGTTAGATCTGGGTGAATTTTTTCATGGATTGTTGAATTGATCTGGATTTGGATGAAGATTTTTATGGATTCCTATTTTTCCATAGATCTGTTTACAGTTCTTCATCAGTGTTATCTGAACTCGTGTTCAAATTGTCTTTTTGATCCGTTTGCGTGTGTTTATATGCATATGAGATCTCACAAGCACTCACGAGGCTATGGATCCGATAAATTATTTTGTGTGATTGAGTAATGATGAATCCAACATTTTGATGTTTAAACGTTGTCATGCACTCCACTCAATTTTGATTTGTTTTCATTGTGTTAATGCGTGGAAACTTCTGGGCAAAAGGTTTGGTATGCAAAAGTACATTCAATCTGTGGAGGACTTTCTCAACTGTTCCTTGAAATCGAACATCTTAATGAATTTCTGATTCTACAGTACTAACAGTCTAACATACTATACTATCATTTATATCTAATATATCCGAAAGTAGCCGAGTATCCGGTTTGGTTTTGAAGAACAGTAGAAAACCAGCTTAGTGATAATCATGCTATAATGCTGTTATTTATTTACATGTAAATGAAAACGTTAATTGTTTTCCGGAAAATGGATGAATTTTAGAAATATTTCTACTGAATTAAGTCGACCAGAACACCAATTTAAACAAACCATTTTATTGCTCTGAGCTTTCACTTGGAACTTGTAATTACATTTGGATGAATTTGTCTTGCATTTTTATGAATTTGCCTGCTTTTTTTCTGTAATCACTGTCATTAATAATCGACAGGGGGCTAATTTCTTTGAAAAGAGATGAGAGGATTGAATTATTAAATCTTGTTCTCATCTAATTAATATATGTTCATTTTCGGTTTATCAAGAGAAGATGCCATGATTGAACTATTAAATTCTTGTTCTTATTTCAATAATTCTTTGAATTGTTTTGGAGGTCACTTGATACAATTCTTATATTTTGTAGATTATACCCTTTTGTTACTCTAGAATAACCTTAAACCATAGCTTTAGCAAAATTTCATCTGTTTGATCAAATTGAAGTTGTGACTTTCTTGTGGCTTTAGGAGGAATTTGAAGAGCATGCTGAGAAAGCTAAGACCTTACCAGAGAGTACTTCCAATGAAGACAAGCTTGTTCTTTATGGACTTTACAAGCAAGCCACAGTTGGCAATGTCAACACGAGTTAGTAGTTTCTTAAACCCTTCGGTACCAATGAAATTTAAATCAAAATACTGCTCCTTATATTGATGCCAATCTCGTTTCGCCATGTTTAATTGCAGGCCGTCCTGGCATATTTAACATGAGGGACAGGGCAAAGTGGGATGCGTGGAAGGCTGTTGAAGGTATTCGATTGGCATAAGAAACTCTTCAGTTGATTCATTTATCATAAGATTAATTGGAGGATCACCATAATTTTACCATTATATTGCAGGAAAATCTCAGGAGGAAGCAATGAGTGACTACATCACTAAGGTGAAGCAGTTGAAGGAAGCAGCAGCAGCATAACTAAGTACTCATCCATGGATTAGTGGATTAAAATAATTATGAAAATTGATAGCTTCTGCTCTTTCTTGACTTATTTATGCCTGAATTTGATATAATTAAGTGTTTTGAACCCATCTTTCAATGAATATGCTGTTATATAGTCTTCTTGATGAATTGATTTGAGTTTGTCAGTACATTCTGTGGATTTGTTGATATTGAATAGAGTAGAATGGTTGTGTGACATCAAATTCGGTATATTAGAAGAAAGTAGTTTATCACAGTATAGTGCATCGGTCAAGTTTAACTACCAAGTTTGGGATGGATTGGTGGTTCGATATGTCTATGATACCAAAGTAGAATTAAAAAGGCACACGAGACGGCATATTGGCTAGTGATAGTGAGTCTCCAACTCTTGACGACCCAAATAAGTAAGAACTATCCATATTAGTTCTTTAAATGATTCGAGACACAGCACCCAATACTAAAGTTTGAAGGGAATTATTTGAAAGAATTCCTTGATTCTGCAATGAGAACCACCCAGCGTGCGAATAGGATGTAACAATCCTGCCTGTAAAGAGAGCGGTGAATGACTTATTCTTTAATTTCAAAAGGGAGTCCCAATCTATGCAAAAGTAGTATGTTGGTTCTCCGGTTCCATGTGGGTTCTCACTTGACGGAAATCCTGTTCCTTCTAAACAAAACATAAATAAAATGAATAATGCTACTTGTACATAAAAAATTATATAATGATTTACATACAGATGAAATGTCAAAAATAAGAGTAAGAAAGGGAATTTTTTTTTTTTTTAAGAAATTCGAATTTAATCATATCTCACAACATCATGTATATGTAAACAATTATATAAATCACCGTGTACATGTAGCATAACCGAAATGAAATAGCAACCACCAACGTCCCTAGTTGCCATTTGCAACTCACCTCATCCTGACCTACTTGTCACGAGGCCCACCCCTACAACCCACTCTAGCCCTACCCTCTATCCCATCCTCAACATAGCCCTGTCTATTCCCAACCAACCCTCGCTACCTCAACCGCCCCTCTCCTCACTCCCCAACCAACAATCGTTGTCTAGGGCTATCAGTATATTGAATTTTGATCCGAATTTAATGAAATTAATAGGAAATGGATTGAAGGTCTTAATCAGATAACTCGATCAAAATTCGAATCTGATAATTCTTCAACTAAATGAAGCAAATATGGATATAAGTCAATTCGATCCGATAACAATCCGATCTAATTTATTTAATACTATAATGTATTTTATATATTATCACATAATTTATTATACAATTTTTTTAAGTTTGAAAATTGTGTTATACTTTGCACATAATTTTCAAATAATAACTAATACTAGATAATAGTATAATATTTTTAATTGAAATATTTGAAGAGGTTTAATTTTATTATTAATTAAAATAAGATAAAAATAATAATTAATTTATTTTATAAATTAAACCATCAAAGGAGCCAACTGTTGGAATTGCTTTCATTATTTTAAACTTCTCACTTCCCACATCGAATAGTTACTAGAATATCATAAAATTTATATTTTATATATAGATGAGCCAAGAATTAGGTAAAAAAGCTACAAGGGCATTTCAATTCTAAGATTTAAAAGTTGACTAATATAAATTTTTTATCTTTTTAATTGTTTTCAATTTCGAATGGAGTTATCGGATTGAATATCCGATAACATAGTAAATCGGATATAAATTTAACGATCAAATATCCGTTGAATAATCGAATTTGATTGGATCGGATCAAATTTCGTCAAATCCAATCCACTTACACCGCTGTGGCTGTCCCTCCAATTTCCTTATCTATGCATGGTATTAAAATTGGAATTTCCATCTTAAAAGGTTAACTAACCAACTAAATGAAATAGTTACTTATCATTTACTCTATGTCCAATCGACGTGGGACTTTATTCGCACTCTCACAAAAGTATTGGAGGTAGGGGAAAAAAATAATTCTTTGCTTTTTCGTTTTTATTAAAGACAAGGGCTCAAAAATTAAACGATTTCCATCTACCCCTTCAGTTCTGTTAGGATATGGTGGCTTAAGCCCTTTCTATTCCTGAACCAACGAGAAACTGTTCTTCTTTTCCGGTCCCCTCAATAAATAAATAGTTGTTATCTACTCACAGTTAGATGGAGCAGTTACTTTCTTGCAGAGGACCACCAATCTTCATTACATATGAACATGGAAGCCATTGAAAGCCTCCAATGCAGATTGCCAGAAAACCATTATTGTTGAGTTCGGATAAGATGGTCCCTTTATCAGCCGACATAATACCGTAAATTGCATGTTCAATATGCAATGTTGATCTTTCTTGATACTGTGTAGTACTATCCAATCCTCCCAAACAGACATGCCACGAGTTTCTTCTCATCTTAAAAATCTCCCAATTTTAATACTAGTCAATATCTTTGATCTGTCCGTGTTTCCTATAAAACCCGTTACAGGCTTCCAAGCTCATCAAAGTAAAGTGGTCCATCATTCATCAGTCTATGTTGAGTTAGTTTTGTCACCGTTTTAAAAGAAGCTATATGTAACTTTATTTCACATGAATCAGATATTACCATGCGTGGAACTATATATTTGCTGGATTAAGATTTCAGCAGATAGTTAGGACATTGTTATTGAGCAAATGGATACCTAGAGAAATAATATTCCCGTGCTCGAGAAGCGCCATCTCTGGACAGAATTCCTTCGAGATCTCCAATAATTCTAGCCAGCCATATCTCCAAATTTCTCTGGATTTCTTTGAAGTTGTTTCTGATGGACTCCAGTGATCGTCTTGTGGCTACTTTTGCCTGTCCTTCAAGCTCGTCCCCACGGTAACTCTTAACCGTCTCAGTTTGTAATGTCATCAGCTTCTGATTAGTTTCAGAAGCGCGCTGTTGTAGTCGAAATGCTTCAAGTAAAAATTCTGTCTGCCTTTGAGTTCGAAACTCTGTACTGAGGTTGGGTTCACATGGATCACTGGCTTGCTGCAAAAGGGATGCCTTATCAGATCACCACAACTTCGAAAAACAACAATAAACTGAAACAAATGAATATAGATTCATTCATTACCATTCTTCTGCATAGATCATCAATTTTTCCTGCTAATGCTTGATATCTCTTTGCCTGCTTTCGCATTAGAGACGGCACTTTTGATAGATCCGTCTTACCAATACTTTCCAGATTCTGTAGTTCTTGCTCAAGCAATTTTAATTTAGGAGAAACTCCAGTTGATTCACCATCTACCTTCCATGGGGACTCCCTTCTGAACAAGAAATTATCATAATCTTTGTATTAGATACCGGAGATTTATCATCCAAATGGCCATGAAACATTTGTACATAGACAGTGACACTTTACCTTGCAACAAAATGCTTCAAATGGTAAAGTGATTCAACAGATTCATACTGCACATCCTGCATAGATGTTTTATTCATGAATATTGTTAGGGATTAAGCCCTAATCCCAATTAGAAAGCAATAATTATAAAAATGACCCTTAACTGCATGCACAATCTTTCTCAATAAGAAAGCCAGAATTATGCCAAAAGTACTTATAAGTTCCAAAATATATACACTGTTCATTAACCATGCTTTTGCAAAGGCCAAGTCACATCAAGATTCCATTGTCATAGTGCAATCATACACATTTTTCCAGATAAAGCCAAACACCAAGATGATTGACTAATCAAAGGAAAAAGTACAACTACAACAGAAAATGGACATAAAAAAGAAAACATAAGAACAAAGGAAATAGAAAATAACATCAAGGTTAAAGCTGAACATAGAGTAAACATTGGAATCAATAGCTGTTGATTCAAGGCAGCATACCGTCACATAATATCAAACTCATCACCACACAACAACAATAACAAACTAACCCTTGTTCCCGATAACTTAGGGTCAATTCCTCTCTGCCACTTCATTTTCTTCATTTTTAAATGTATGAAAAAGATCTAAAGTAACATGGAGTCACTAATAAGAGATGCCCCAACAAAATGTTTATTATGATTTATTACAAGGTTTGACAAAGTTTTCTGCTGGCTGTCGACTTAGGAGACCCCTCTCTTGCCCGAGCTTAGGACAGCTATCAGACAAATCTATCCATTTACATAATACCATATCAAAGAAATCGGGAAAGGAAGTATAAGCGATGAGGCAAAATAATGGGAAGACAAGGTAGTGAAAATTCTACAAGTTTGAATAGTAGATATGATGTTAAACCACACAACACCGGGGCTCTAAAAGATAAATGGCCATTGCAGAAATAGACAATATTGAAAGCCAAAATTGAGCAATGATTTACCAAAAAAACAGAACAAAACTGTCAAAGCAATGGAGATATAAAATATGTCATTATTGAGAAGTGAATGAGGACAAAGGTCAGACAGAAGGGGGTATAGCTCTGTCCACTCAAAAACAAATTGGAGTAATTAGGATTCAGTCTTGAAATTTATAAGCCTCTCAATTTGAATTTTCTGTGAAAAAAACTCCCTCTTGTTTGAAATCCAAGCAACATATCATCAAAAAATTTCAACCTTCCCTTCAACACTCGATAAAAACCCGAGAACAGTGCCAGGATGACACAATCTTGCAATCTGGAAACTGAAGAACAATATCAAGAATTTTTCAGGCAAATTCCTATTCAGATTTCATAAATCAAAAATAATCTCACTTAAACTATGATATATACACAACTCCCGTCCCGTCCCGTATTATTGAAAATTAAGGAAACAATCTATCCTTCTGAATTGAGCTGAATATAAGTATTTGACAAGTCCAAAACATCAGGATAGATGCAGAAATCAAAATCTTCAAAATTTTCAAGGTTTTGCACTCACTTCCCTTTAGATTAATTTATAAAATTAAAAATCAACACGATATCCATTTAGCCCACAATTTAAAAACAGAAACATAAACCAAAATTTATAAAAGAAAAAAAAAAAAAACCCAAATAATCCATGAAATCATACCTGCCAGAGACTTCCCTTTTCATCCCAGAACTTGGAAGCAGCAGAATTCAAGAAATCTGAACTAAACCCATTAGTACTCTGTCCATAAACACTTCCAATGCCCATTTCCTCCATCCCATTTCTCACATAAGACTCCTCTACATCCAAATCAAGCCCTTCTGAAACCCCACTTTTTCCATACCTCACAGCCGTGTTACCATAGCATTCCCCACTACTGTTTTCCATTTCACAGTTACTTCTACTAATAAAGTTGAGCATTTCATCTCTCTCACCAATTTCCCTCTTCAAATCCTCAATATTGGCCCTCAAATCAGCCTCCATTTTCTCCAAATACTCAACTTTACTCTTCAAATAAGCTATTTCCTCGTTACTCTCATCAATCTGCTGCAACAGCCTCTTCTCTTCTTGCTGCCACGAATGCCTGTGGCTTGCAAAGATTTCAACAACTCTTGCATTTGCCTTTGAGTCCTCTTTTCTCCTCGAATGTAGCTGCTTTAGCTGCTCTTCTGCTTGCATAAGCTTAAAGATTAAAGCTTTGTTCTTGCTTTGGAGAGTTGAGAATAAAGAAATGGAGTTTTTGGGTAAGAACCCAAGAAAGACTGTGAAACTAAGGCCCAAGTATGAGGACAAGAGCTTCTCAAAATGATCATCATTTTGTTGTTGATCTTGGTTATCTTCTTGTTGTTGGGCAGCCATTTTTCTGAGAATTTGTCTCTGTTTGGGAACTATGTGTCTGTGGGTGGATTTTGTGGTGCTTTTTGTGGAACCTTTTTGATGA